ATAGATGACAGACAGACAGACAGACAGACAGACAGACAGATAGATCGATAGATAGATAGATAGATAGATAATCTTCGAAAGCCATCTTTTTTCAGTTCCTTATTGTTTTGAGGAAGTAGGCTAAGTACATTTTTTTCTTAAAAACTGTAAAACCACAACTGTAAATAAAATATTATACGAGGAAGCTGCCATACAACAGGCCCATTAACCCTTTTTATTCAGCATAGATATTTACGATTACAGTGTATATCTTTGGGGGTTATTATACCCTTTTTTTCTGATTTAAAATAATTTAGAATTTTTTAAAAAGTACCAATATTCTATATTCCATTAATATAAGAGTTGCATGTGTAGCATACTCATTAAGGTCGGGGATATAAACTGGGATATTTTAAATTTAAATATTTTAAAATTAATTTCAACATGTCATACTACTGAAACAGTTTGAAATTACATGTCAACCACTCAAGAATAAAGAAATAAAAATACAATCAATTTATGCATAAATTACAATAGATCTCTTCAAAACACTCACGTTTTACTGAAGAATCCTCCAATGGTGCTTCCAATAAAGAGGAAAAACTGTTGGGAGAAGAAGACCAGAGTGATCTCCTGTAGCGTGGACTGAGTTTGACATCTCAGGTCCAGGATGGTCGGACCCAGAAAAGCGACACATAGTCCAAAACTAAAGAATACACTCCAATATGTGAGAGTATGCTGCCAGTTAATGCGGAATAATGCGCAGATCCGTTCATTAATCAGTTGCTTCATGCTGGAGAAAGTTTCTGAGGTGTTTCTTGGAGCATTTACGCAGTGGAATTCATCCTGGGCGTGAGAGGAGACTCGCCTAAAGTGATAGTCGCGTGTTCAGAGTCATCATCAGAGCGATGCTTGTCCGATTCGCGAGTGAGTTGTTCATTCAAATCGGTCCTTTTGAATGATTCAGTCTGAACTGACCCGTTTGTCGAGAAACGCTGGTAAAAAATATTTTAGTCATGTTTTGCATCAAGTATGTTACTGATGTTGTATGTGTGTTTTTTTTGAAATTCAGAGAAACTCATTAGGAAATTATAATCTTGTACAGCGTCGGATTAGACATAAATTAATAATAAATTAAACATAATGAAGTCGTTTTCAACGCAAAATATGACATATATTGGCCTACTACGGTGCTCGAGAAGTGCTAAACAAATCACAATTCTGAAAACAAAATAACAAATTACAAACGCAAATGCAAGTCTAAAAAACAAAATAACAAATCAGAAAGCACAACAACAATTCAGAAAACATTATAACAAGTCAGAAAACACAATGACAAATTCGAAAACAAAATAACAAGTCAGAAAACACAACGACAAATCCGAAAACAAATTAACAAGTCAGAAAACACAACGACAAATCAGACAAACCGGAAGAGGTAGGTATAGTTTGAGACAGCGCCATTGGTTTGGGATTACTCACCGCTGACTGGACAAAACATCTGTCAATCAACGTATACAGGAAGAACCAGCTGAAGAGCAGCAGAGTCGTGGTAGAAAGTTCGGAGATGGTATTAAAGTAGCTCAGTTTAAATGTATTGTATGAATGGCCTTACTATGGAAAATACGGGGTGTCTATTTACATTTAGTTAAAAGTGGCTGTGTCGTTGGCTTTTTGACGCGATCGACCCGGATTTGTCGTTGTGTTTTCTGACTTGTTATAATGTTTTCTGAATTGTTGTTGTGCTTTCTGAATTGTTATTTTGTTATAATGCTATTTTAGACTTGCATTTGCGTTTGTAATTTGTTATTTTGTTTTCAGAATTGTGATTTGTTTATCACTTCTCGGCCACCGTACTACGGTTAAATAACAAATATACCAACATACGACGACGAACATTTAACTTCAATCTATAACTTAAAAAAAAATAAATCACATTTTTTAACCTTCCAACACTCAGGAGGAGATCAGTGCCACAAGTTTAATCAAACCTTGACCTGGCCAAAAATAACACTGTCGACTCATGACTCAAACGAACCGGTTCAAGAAAACGAAATTATTCATTTAAAAGATTCAAACAGATCCGGGCAACAGGTGTGTTTCCCATTTCCCAACAGTTTGGTCGTCATCAGAGTCAACATAAATGTGAGGGTAAGAAATCAAGCACTGCTGCCTGGGGCGTCACGCATATTTGGACTGTTTTGTTTTATAGATATTTTCATGTGAACCGTACCGAGTGCATCTGACAGGTCCAACGAGTCTTTTGTTGCAGCTAAGCTAACAACGCACACACTAATTTGCACACAGGTTTATCTTGCTGATAGTATATTGCCTAGACCAAATCCTATTTCAAGTTTACTTTGTGAAGTGTACTAATGACAAATAGTACCATTCAAGACAGTAAGACTATTGTTTGAGACGAAGGTAGTCACATTCCCATGGTTCAACTCAACGTCATCATTTATTTAGTTTGTTATTTAATTATTTTTGGCATTTTCGCAGTCACAATACATTCAGCTTCAGAATATCATAATAGAATAGACAAATCACACAAAATATTGAATATCACATTTCATACAAAAATCTAAATCTTTTATAAAACATTTAGACATCATCTAAGTTCATTTAATACCCTAGTTTTTTTTTTTCTGGCAAAAGTTCACGGAGAATAAAGAAAACACTTGTCAAAATACATTTATATATTAATTCTTTTCAATAGAGTATTTAAAATATTTTCATTTACCACAAAACATGTAAATTAGTGCCGCTGCTGCAGTAACGTTAAACTAAAACCTTTTAAGTCATTATATTTGATAGAATTTCCCCTTTGTCAGTCATTCTCAATATTTCTGTTCCTTGGTGGCCTTTAAATGACAAAGCTTTTCATTTCTGTCCACTGTAAAACTAGTTTGTGCTCAGTGCCGTTTACAACAAAGAGTCATAGTGCTTTCATTTTTAAACTACAAAATACAGTAATAGAAGGTGAACAACATTAGGTTTCAGGTCTAGACACTTGCATGCCATACGGAGTAGCAATTAGCTTAAATGGCAAAACGAATATCTGCATGTGCAATTACCTGAAAGGACCGAGATCCTTGAGGAGATTGAAGTAGATGGTTTTTCGAAAGGCATAAAATTGGACCCCATCATCTCTTACGGTCTGCAAAAGGCACCTTTTGAAGATTTAATAAATTAATAACTAGTTAAAGATGCTGTAAGCGAGTATAGCTTTTTTTTCTAGCCAGATACACTGTTTGCCTGTCAATCATTTTGTGGACAGGGTGGGATTTAGAAGAATTCTGTTCTAGAATCGCTTACAGCACCTTTAGTAGTTGAACTTAAATGGTATCATGACAGAATTCAAGTAATTCTCTATTCAGTGGCTCAAATATTTATACGACAATTTACATGTTGAATGTTTCAACTCTTCTCTGTATTATAGTATTGAATGAATGCTTATGAAATAAACCGCAATATCAGCTTGTGCAGTGATCAAACACGTAGGCAAAACAAGTTAAACCTCAAACAGAAATGAAGGAAATTTCACTCAATGGAAAAAGTAGGACATGAAGCTACCATGTTTCCTGCACATACACATTCACGCACAATTAAAAATACTATGAACGTCTGAAAGTACTACTAGATCCAGGAGGAGAAGAGGCTGAACTCAAGTCTAAATGTCTTTCCATTTAAAGCTTTGAGCTTTAGGATCAGTGTGGTTTTTAGGTTTACAATAGACTGCAGGAGAGATTTGTTTTAGCCTTGGTTACACTTGTAACCAGCTCATGTTATGTCTGAGGATGATTCACTTCTATTCAGTCCGTTTTCTGAAGTACAGACTAATAAATTGGTATGTATGTGAATGGATGCATGCATGCATGCATGTTTTGAATGATGAAACAAAGCTGTTTGCTTCATAATGGTTTTGTTCTGGCGATCTCTTCATGCACACCACTTTGATTCTTGTCTTCAGAATATGCTTTGTCTGCGGTTCTTGCCTCGACCTGGATTTGGAGAAAATGATCCACTGTTAGACGGAGTATGCAGTGCAGGTGAGTATGTTTTAAAGCATTTAATCTTACAGGTTTATGGATGGGATTAATGTGCATGACTAAACATGATCAAGTTGCGCTCTGCAAATAGAGATGAGTGATGTCAAAGCAATGGAATTGAATACCCAGCGGCTGGAATACTGAGCTCTTGTGTCCCAGATCCTTCTGTAGCTGGATCTCCCTCAGTGAAAACACAGACGAGGCTAGAGAGGATAGAAGACAAGTGGCTGATGATCAAAGCAAATGTATTGTCTTGTTTGTCATTTCATCAAGGTGAAAGACATATTATAAGGCTCGTGTTGAGGTGATGTTATATAAGCAGACTCTAGAAATGATGAAAATATTGGGATAAACTCACTGTCAGGTATGGAGTGAATGTTCTCGCCCAGAGTCAGGAAGTAAGAGTGTCTCAGAGACGACTCGGCCGAAATCCTGCGCTTGGTGTCATACTGAACAGAAACAAAAGAAAAATGAGGGGAAAGAGAGAATTGGTGCATTTTTTTATTGGATAGGTTTTTGTACGTTTACAGGATTTGTGATGCGTATGTAATCATCTGACTAAATATGATAACATGGTGCAAAATAAATAAAAAAAAAAATCTAAAATTATTATAATATATGCAACCAGTGGCGGCTGGTGGAAAATTTTCTAGGTGGGGCGCCACATCCAAAAATTTTAGCATACATCCCGGTATGATTTATCCCAGTATAACAAAAGGAAAAGTATTAAAGGGGTGATATGATGCTGCTAAAAAGAACATTATTTTGTGTATTTGGTGTAATGACATGTGGCGGCCTAGAGTATGCGGAGGCCGGCTTGAGTGAGCAGAGGCGGCGGGCTTGAGAACGGCGTGGCCGGCGGATTCGATGAAGGAGCGTCCGACGGACTTGCGGCAAACACATGTGATGACCCCGGGCTGGACTCCGCTTCGTCCACGGTGAAAGCTGATCCGGCGATCCACAGCACGAAGTTGATGTATTTCCTCAGCGACCAGCACGGATCAGCTCCAGGCATGACGAAGCGGATATCATCCTCTTTTGGAAGGCCAAACAAAGTAGTTTCGCTTTCACAATGAAACACATAGCACCTTCACGACATGGCGGCGGCGGGAACAACAATACTACAGCGAGAATAAAAGTTACGCCGCCTTTCTTTGCGTGAACATTTGGGCGGGGGGCGTGTTAGAACGAGCCGTTTTAGGTAGGCGTGGTTGACACTCAAATTTTTTATAAAGAATATGTCTTTGGATTTGAGACTTTAGTCTTTGCAACTTTACAGATCTTCTTTATGCACCAAGAGCTTGTAACACTCCAAAGAGAAAGGAAAAATTGAAATCGCATCATATGACCCCTTTAAGACTTAAAACATTTTAAATAAATGTAATTGTTTTACCAAGTTCAAGCTTTTTTCAAGAAAAATTTAAACATTTTGTTTTTAATTTTAAAAATAAGAATTCACAATTGATGTATAGGCCTACAATGCAACAGCAAAAACTGTGAGAGAAAATGAATGGTACATTTATTTAGACCATTTTCTATACATATATTAATAACTATAAAACAAGCTGCAATACCAAGCAGGACCATACGGAGATGCCAACAGCAAACTAAAATACCAGTCGCCTTAACCTGACTGTAACGCTACTATATAAATATATACGGATCTCTATTCAGAATTATTAAACAGAGCATTTGAATTTACATTCTGAATTTGTCGAATGTTGTGATCTGAAGGCAGCTCGACATTACCAGTGAGCAGTTCCTCTGTCAGTGTGAGTGCTGATGCCCATTTATATACATAAACACCACTGACCATTGCAAACTCTTATAAAAACATGCTTCTTCAGCCTGACTTCATATTTCTTATTAATAGAGATATGTTTGTTCCCATCAATCGCTGCACAAGTTAAGGTTATGTATAATGAGTCTTAGTGCTAGCCCTCCTGGAACTCATAGAGATTATATTGCAGTGCCTGCAGTTTGAAAAAATCAATCTTTGTATGGAAGTCTATGAGAACACTCGGGGCGACTCTCAGCCTGAGAGAAATCGGCCAAAAAGTGGCGGTACTACACAGAACATGACTCAACGCTGATTGGACTATATTTCCAGAGGCAGAACAAACAGTCTAGAACAGTGACAGCTTTGTGGTTGAATGCGGTAGAAAAAAAAATCCCTTCCTTTCACACTTTGGTGGTGCATCGCCCTATTGCCCTAATGAAGAAACCGCCTCTGTATGCAACAGTTCTTTTTGGTCCTCGAATCTTATTGGTTGAGAGGACTGCGATATTCTAGTGATAACAGAACTCCAACCATTTCACCGTTTGTATCACTCCCCACACAGTATTTCTCACAGCGTGTGTCATGGCGGACACCATGTTTTAAAAGTTTTTTTAAAGACACTCCATTGTTGTTTCTTATGTATTTATACACTTGTGCCGTTGAACTGTTATATAAACACATCAAAATCGTAGCCGTGCGATATGGCTGTATATCGATCGGCCTGCTGGGATTCATTACCTATGGCCGAATCACAGCCGTGCTGATATAGAGCCATATCGCGCGGCTACGAGTCTGAATCTGTATAGACAATAATTAGAATTTACCATATGTTAAGATTTAATATATAAGTTTTAATTTTCATTAATTAAGTACTCTATAACATTAAAAAGTGATGTTCTCTAATGGATAAATGGTTCAGAAAGAAATAATTTTCTTTTCGCTTTTAAAATGCAGATGTTTTTTCACCAGTTGAAAACAATTGATCTAGTTACTGTCAAATCTATCTATCTTACACACATACACATACATATAATATAAATTACAGAATATTTTAAATTGTAGAAGAGAAAGACTACACTTTTGTTTTAGTCAACCTAAGTTTGAATTAAATTGTTTTATCGATTTTTAGAAGTACAGTAGATATTCTCAAAGCTAACAAAAATGCACTAAAGTGAACTTGAATGCTGATCCTTTATGTGACGTGTGCGCATGCGCAACGCTTCTTTCAGTGTTTTGTGCACTAGAGCGCGCGTTACAGTAGCCACCTGTGATCTTCCCCGTCGTGTGTGTTCTTCACTAATGACTCAATTTGAGCACAGCTCCCCTGACTTGTTGATGTCTGAGCTATAAAATAGTTTTAAATAATGAAGCACCCATCACCATGCTGTCATCACACACAAAGTTATAAAATTGTCTCCGGTGAAGTTTGGCGGTGTTTCAAGTGAGCAGAGCGTTCAGAGCGCATTGTGTGAGGCTGATGGCGCGATCAGTCAGTGGGGTTTGATGAGAAACAGGTGCACGGTTCGGACTCATTAAGGCCGCTGTCACCATTAACGAATCGCGCGCTCTGCGGTCTTTCATCATAATGACAGGTCAGCGCGCACTCAAGCTGCGTGTGCCATCAGATTGCGCAGAGAGAAAGAGAGAAACGCATTCACATTTCTACACAAATACCTCATTCTACCGAAATACAAACGCACACAATCTTAGACCTCCCATTGACTTCTTCTGTTGTTAAATTAATGAATCGTAACCATTACACACTGACCCTAACTCTTTTTTATGCTTTTTACCATCTGACACCATCAGGGTAAAGTTTGAAGGTATAGATTTTATTTAGGACATTATTTGGCACATTTATAAACCTTTTTAAATACATTTACCCAACTGTCATACTGGAGACCAAGTGTATTGACTTTAAATTGTTGTAAATTAAGCTAATAGTTTGATGGTTTTAGCTGGTTTAATCTGGCTTTCCAGTCTGACCAGCCAAAAGTGGCCCAAAACCCCTCTAAAACCAAAAAAAAAAAAAAACAGAAAACAAAGAGTCTGACCAGGTTGGGAGACTAAGACCAGCAAACCCACTTAATGAAGAGGGGAAAAAAATGTAGACAATGTAGACACAAAAAAGGCTAGACAAGTCTTATACTAAATCCTAAACCTAAAACACAACTTTTAGGTTTTCTATTTTTTTCTCTTTCTTTTTTTTTTTTTTTTTTAGAACTAAGACATTTTTTTAATATTTATCTATCTGTCTGTCTATCTATCTATCTATCTATTTATCTATCTATCTAAGCTGGCTTTGACCAGCTAAAAAGGGGTCAAAATCCCTCTAAAACCAGTAAAAAGATCAGTCTTTTTTTAAAGAAGGGAATAAAGATATTTAGTTGCTCTGAATGATAAATTCCAGAAAGATCTTCTCAGATTTTGAAGACAAAATCATTTTTTGTCCTGAAATGTACACAGAAAAAAAATCACTTCGAAATTGCTAGTAAATTTCAGAATTAATTACAGAGAAATGGCAAGTAACACATTAAGTTGGCTTGAGAAAGCCAACTTACTGATCTACTATTTAAACTTATTATTATTATTATTCTTCTGAGCCAAATTTTGACACCTATCTCCTCCTAGAGCTTTCAAGCTAGAACCACCAAACTCGACCCAGACCTTCAGACTGGTCTGACTCGGTGTGCTATATCTTTTCTAACTGAACCCAGACTATCAAAACCACCTAAAATCCCATAGACTTTCATTGAGGGGGTGAAAACTTTTATACAATAAGACTTATGGTGTATTTAAACTGTCTATTGCTATAGCAAAGCTTAACAACTCCCTACTGAAAAAACAGCTAAAACCAGCCTAAGCAGATTGACTGCTAATAATGCTAGAATCATGCTAGTAACTTGCTAACCATGCTAGTAACATGCTAGTAACTTGCTAATCATGCTAACAACATGCTAATAACACGCTAATCATGCTATTTAGTTGTTCCAATCAATCGCTGCACAAGTTAAGGTTATGTATAATGAGTCTTAGTGCTAGCCCTCCTGGAACTCATAGAGATTATATTGCAGTGCCTGCAGTTTGAAAAAATCAATCTTTGTATGGAAGTCTATGAGAACACTCGGGGCGACTCTCAGCCTGAGAGAAATCGGCCAAAAAGTGGCGGTACTACACAGAACATGACTCAACGCTGATTGGACTATATTTCCAGAGGCAG